GATAGCTTTATTGGACAAGTTTGTATTGAAATTGATTGTGAATTGCTTTTTAAATTTCTCAATGCAAGTCCTAGTTTGGGTTGTGTTTAGTGTTGTGAGGCTCTATTATTGGAGCTGCTTTTGCTTATAGGTGCTAAGCTAAATGTTTCTTTTATTTTTCTTTAGTTTCAAGCTAAGGAAGTGATACTACTAATTAGCAGCTTTTAATGCAAATGAGTTGATACTTAATGGGTGGCTTTCAATAGCAACACCTCCTTTATTTGATGTTTGTTTGGTTTATCTTTTAGGCTAAAGTAAGCAAGGTAAGAAGGCTTGTGATGTTTTTGATTTTGGTTTGATCTCAACTGGTATAGGATAATTGTTTTGGTATTTGTTGGACTTTTTTTTCTTCAACTTTTTTACTAATATACTATAAATAATAAAAGAAATTATCTAAATGTTTCACCGTGAAAAGTATTTATCAAAATACTGTACTAAAAATTGTTTAGATAGAGAATGATTTTGTAGTTATAAAGAAATCGTTTAGATAGAGAATAATTTTCTGATAGAGATTATTTTTTTATTCAATGAAAAGTGAAAGCATTCAAGCCAAAAACAATTTCAACTTTTTTTTTTCATTCGCATGACATAATATTCACTATCAATCGTGATAATCTCTTATTTTTCCTTATTATTATTGTAAGATTTGCTTATCTAATCTCAATTAACTATCAAATCTAAGGTAATCAAGGGCTTGACCCCAATAAAGATTATTAAGTTTGTAAAATATTATAAATAGGGATCCCAAGTTTTTACGATTTAAAATGCACCCATATACTTTCAATATTCTCAAATTAAAGTTTAAAACATGGCGGAAACATGTGAATACAAAAAGAATCAAAGTATTTGCAAAAAGAAATTAGAAAACCTCAATTTTTCTAAAACAATATGATGCATCACAGCTCATCAACCATTGTACCATGTGTCGCAGCACATTGCATAAATTTTGATAGCAATTTTATTATCATATGATAGCACCTGAGACAAACTTTTGACATGTTTTATTTTTCCATCTAATGTTCAATTGAGGTGATTTAGATATCTATAAAGAGCTTTTTCCTAAATCTAACTAATGGCATAAGTTTTACAACTAAATGATTTTTCTGCCAAAAGTTGGACATTGTTTACAAAACTCACTCCTTTTTTACAATAATTCACAACTAAGGTGCCCAAATTCCAACACATGTGCTAAAAGCTTATACCAACCCTTATACCACACTCAATGAACCATTTTGGACTCGTGAAACACATTACAATCAATCTAATACACAAATTTCATATATTTACCGCTCAATCCCTTGATTCACAAAATCATAAGGGGGAGTAATCTTGCATAAGATCATCAAATATTCATTCAAGACATCCAAGATACACCTTACCCTACTTACACTAGTATTTTAGCCTCAATTTAAATTTTACAATCACATAACACTAACTTAAGGCACAAAATATACAAGATATTTTACACTAATGATGCAAGTAGTCAAAAGAATAGTATAAACTCTTAGTTGGCAAATTAATCATCAATATATACATAGAAGTAAATCTACAGATGTACAGATATAATTTATATTCAATCCTAAGCCTTTGGTCGTTTTTCCCAATCCTGATTTAATGAGCTAGGCTTTGTAATATTGAAAAATAAGAGATGAGTACAACCATTCAATAATTAAGGTCAACTTACCTTATACAATTGTATATCAATTAATTATGAATGTAAATGGCAATAAATAATCATTTTATCACACATATCAAAATGTAGCCATGATCATAAAAGAAAACAACCATGTAACTGAGCATACAACACATATAATCAAATATATCTCAATTATGCATATCTTAAGGTTGTAAAAATAACAACCATGCACCTCTTACACACCGAACTACAATAATAACAACCATGTGGTAGGAACTAAATGCATGGTCAATGCCAACTTTATACCCTCCTATTATTTTCGACACGAAATTGATAGCTATCCTATAGCTACGTTCATAACTTAGACTAACTCAGCTTTCTACTTGTGAGGAACTAACGGGCCAAAGTTAACTCACTCATTTGTGTACCATAGTTTCTTTCAATACTAACAACCATGTGATGTCATACCCCTAATCTAGCCTTCCCAAGAACTGGTGAAAATTACTTGGGTTTAAGTCCCTTAAAAAACAAGTGGGATAGTCTCGAATCAACTATAAAACATTGGTCACCTCTCGATTCCAACAGTCTGTGTCAAGCAAGCTTTCAATTCCAATAGTGAGCAGCCATTGCTATGTGGATTTACCAATCTACTCCTCTTCCTAGGCGAAACTCTCACCAATAATCATGCTATGTAAATAATAATAAGTTGTATGTCATTCAATACACGTTAATTCCATCATATCATGTTTACATAATTCCCTTTCTCCTCTTTACTCCATATGCCAATATCATATAATAACATACTTTCAATTATCATCATTAATCACACATGTATAAACATACATATTACTTTCAACAATTCAATACAATTTCAAACAATGTCGACTTTGCATCAATAGGTATTCAAAACACTAAACAAGCTTCAAACTATTAAATTCAACAAATAATTAATTAATAAACAACTACACAAACAAGATTTTTCGCTTGTTATCTCAAACTTTTAAGATGTTAAAGGTTTATCCCTCAAAACACAACTTTCAAAGCTTGTCAAACAGCTTGAATGGTGCCAAAACTGATAGTCTATAATGAAATCACAAGAATATTCATTATTACCCCGTATTTGGGCAATTTCCAACATTCTAACTTTACATTCTCTTTTAATCAAAATCACAAATCCATTCTCAAACATGCCCAATAGGTTTATTAGGTTTTAATAACCTACATTATCATTAATGAATTATTAAACGACCATTAATGGTTGTAAAATATTCCCAACAACCTTTATAAATATGAATTTTTATTTATTAATGGCCTTGAACAACCAACAATTCACAAAACTATTGATGTTGAGTTTAAATATTCTAAACAACTAGCATTATATCTATTTTAACCAATGGGCTCGAACTCATATTGACTGAAAATCACTCTCCCAACTCAAACCCTAACTTTAATCTTCATGAAATAAAGAGAGGAAGGAAGTAGAGGGCATATGAGACTTACCTTAAGTGATTAAAAGCTCCCAAATGTCTCCAATGGTCCTTGCTTTCATGCTTTGGCAAAGGTAGCAACATGCTCTTAGTTTCCTTTTCTCATCTCTTCTGATTTTTCGAATAGAGCACTATTGGTTTAAGTAAAAATTTGGCCATGCCACGGCACACGCAACCCACACCAAGACACGTGGCACAGAGAAAGCTGACTAATATTTGCCTCCATGCATTTTGGCGAATGCCCTTCACATTGCGACATGTGGTACAGAAGAACATTTTTTAGTTTTTTAATGCTCGAATGGCCTGACTTCAATTCGAACCCACATTTAAAGCTGAAATTACCACCAAACATACTTGTTGGTCCTCTTTGGCCACACACCACATCAATAAACTTAATTATCCTACTTAAGTTTAGCTAATCGGGTTTAAATTTTTAGGATATTACAATTATCATAACCCCTTTTTACTTCTCCCAAACCTACTCAATTCAAGTTTTATTACATGCCACCCTTATTATTATCTCTTTTCAACTCACCCACTTCTACTCATTTTGGATCGTTTATACTTTTACTTGATGATCCCGCACTATTTTTGGCTAAATATAATACTTCTACTTTTGAATATGGTAAGCCATTAAATGAAGCATATGTCACCCCTTGATGGTCAATTTCTTTAGTTGAATCACCTTGGTTTAATTTAAATACACTGATTATACAAATAAATGAAACTCTTGAATTTTAAAAAGATGGGAAGATACAACAACAATAATAGCCACAACGTATAAGAAGGAGAACAAGATGTTATGTCGATAGTCGCTATTTATGAGGTAAATTAATTTTCACTTGAAATTCAAGTGTTTCATTTATTTGTGTAGTTAGCATGTTTAAATCAAACTGAAGTGATTCATCTAAAGAAATCAACCATCGAAGGGTGACATATGCTTTATTTGATGGTCTACCATGTTCAAAAGTAAAAGTGTTGTATTCAATCAAAAATAGTGCGGGGTCATCAAGTAAAGGCATGAATGACCCAACATGAGTAGGAATAGATAAGTTGAAAAGGGATGATGATGAAGCTAGCATGTAATGAAACTTGAATTGAGTAGGTTTGGAGAGGTGAAAAGAGGTAATGATAATAATGAGAAAAAGTAAGAGATTATTACAATTGACAATGAATATTATATCGTGCCAATGAAAAAAAGCTGAGATCATTCTTAGTTTGAATGCTTTCACTTTTCATTGAAGAGAAAAAAATCTCTACTAAAAAATCATTCTTGATCTGAATGAACCATTCTCAATCTGAACAATTTTCAACGTTATATTTTGATAAATACTTTTCAAGATGCAGTATTTAGGTAATTTTTTTTAATTATTTACAACGTATTGATTAAAAACCCATTTTTTTTAGTTTGATTTCTTTTTGCATTTTGGTTGTATTTATGTTTTATTGCTTTTTTTTAATTGCTACTATCTGATATTAGTGAGTGTAATTCTTTTTTATAATCAACAAAATTGGCTTGTTTTTGGTTGAAAAAACTATGTTTCAACTCAATGCATCAACTTAACGGTAAATCTAGTATTTAGTAATATGATTAATATTTTAATGTATTAATCATGTTTTTATATAATTAATCGTGTTTTTTAAATGTGTATCCTTAGAAATTAGAACACTTTCGACATTTTGAAACGGACGAAATAACAATCAATATAATTCAATATGGTCAAAATTTTTGCTAAAAAAAAGAGAGGTCAAAATTAAAGTTAAAAATCATTAATATTTCGCAAAGGCGGGTCCGAACCAGATTTACCGATATATAAACAATACACAGTCGGTTTTTTCACCCCCTGCGCTAAGAGTTTAGGGTTTAGCAGCAGAAGGTAGAAGCAAACAATGGCGCCCAAAACTCCTAGAGTCACGAGAAATCCTGAATTGGTAAGAGGAATAGGAAAGTACTCGAGGTCGAAGATGTACCACAAGAGGGGTTTGTGGGCCATCAAGGCTAAAAACGGTGGCGTTTTCCCGCGCCACGATCCCAAACCTAAGCCCACAGCTCCGGCCGAGAAGCCTCCCAAGTTCTACCCGGCCGACGATGTTAAGAAGCCCCTTGTCAACAAGCACAAACCTAAACCTACTAAACTTAGGTGCCTATCGAAGTTCAGCTCTTAATTTTCCTTTTGACGTCTCTTTCTGTTGTCAGAATGGAGGCGAAATTGATTTTGTTTGTAGAGTTCTTTTTGTTGTTTGATCTGATTTGTTATAATTGTTTTGTTAACTCTGTTGAAGAACTTTTTATTTGTCGGTTTTATTTTATGATTCGATAGTGTGGAGCGTAGTTGGGCAATTCCAATTTGAATTTAATTTGAGATGTGAAGTAGAGACACTCCTTCTTCATGGCGGACTGTAAATTGTGTGTTTTTCCCTAACATCATATCTGTTGGGTTGGTTTAATAGTTGCTGTTTCTGTCTTTAGGGCCAGCATTACTCCCGGGACAGTATTGATACTTCTTGCTGGGAGATTCATGGGAAAGAGAGTAGTGTTTCTGAAGCAGCTTCCTTCGGGATTGCTTCTTGTTACTGGTAAGGGATGCGTTTCTCTTTGTTTAATATCACATGTTCTGATCACAAATTAGTTTTGTTTGTTTTGTCTATCTTATCTTCTCATTTTAATTGTGACATTACAATGTTGCCATGTGGTATTTATTACTACTTGCTTACGGTGTACTCCCTCCGTCCCTCTATATAAATCATGCAAATTAATAAATTTGGTTGTAGCAACATTCTAATTTTGCCACTAATAATTGTAAATAAAAATGAATCTTTTTTTTAAAGTAAATTAATGAGAGTATTTATCTTTTTTTGTTTCTAATTTAATAAGGATATCATGGTCCATTCATTAAAAAAATATGCTAACAACCTTTTATATTTAGGGACAAAAAAAAAGTTCTAAAAGACTTTTTATATATAGTAATGGAGGGAGTATATGTTTAAACCTCACACTCAATGTTGTCTTGATGGCATGTGTCTTTGTGAAAATGCTAATTGTTGGGAATACGTTTTAGTGTGTAGCAGTTCTATTTCTAATTACGTGTAGCTAATTGTTCCTCTTTGGATTATATGTTTGTCTTCACTCAAAGTCATCTTGTCATTTTACTTATGTGTCTTCCTTGACATTTCAGGTCCATTCAAGATAAACGGAGTTCCTCTGAGACGTGTAAGCCAGTCTTATGTCATTGGAACATCCACCAAGGTAGACATCTCTGGAGTTAATGTGGAAAAGTTTGATGACAAGTACTTTGCCAAGAAGGCCGAGAAGAAGAAGAAGAAGGGAGAGGGAGAATTCTTTGAAGCAGAAAAGGAGGTTTGTTGTCGAATTTGCTTTGTTTGTTTTCTCTGTACAATTGTTCTCTCTGATTTCAAATGTCAGTGTTCTTATCTCTATTAATTACTCTTTACCATTGTAGGAGAAAAACGTGATCCCTCAAGAGAAAAAAGATGACCAGAAAGTAGTGGACACAGAATTGATAAAAGCCATAGACGGTGTTCCAGACTTGAAGGCTTATTTGGGTGCAAGGTTTTCTCTCAAGGCCGGCATGAAGCCTCATGAGCTAGTCTTCTAAGCTAAGCAGAGTCTTTGACTTAATTTTTCTCGTTCTGTTCTAGTTCAGCTAGGTCGGAGTTGCTTTACTCATGGGCCATTCTTCGCTGGGGATGACGAAAGAATATGATTTTTTTATACTAGTGAAGTGATTTATTTGCTTCAATTTTTGCTCGTGAGCTAATTGATTTTAGAAACCTGTTACATATTTGGATAGTATCACAAGAAGTTTTGGGTTTTCTACGAGACGTGAAAATAACTCGTTGAGTAATTTTTTTTTTTCCCATTGAAGATAAGAAATTATCCCCTACGAAGTCTGCGTATCATTATTTTTCGTCAAAGCGGTGAGTGCTTGCTGGGTTTGCATTTCTTTTTTGAATAAGAATATCAATAGAAATGAGAGTGGGTTGATAAATTAGATGAGGGAATAAATTCATGATTTCTGATTTCTCGTAGAAATAAGCAAGCGTACTTCCAATGTTTAGTTAGTTGAATATGTATAATAAAATTAGAAAAGGAGAATGGATGAATAAAAGGGAGAATGACAACATAGTTTCGCAATAAGTTTCTGGCAATTTTTTATAAAATAAGTTTGTAAATGTTAATTTAAATAATTATAAATATGAATTAAAATTGTAAATTATCTAAAATATTTAAAATTTAAATATTGTATTTATAATTAAAATTTTTAAATTTACAATTGTTTGGATTGATATTTACGATTAATTTTTTTGAAAAAGTTGTGGAGGATTTAATTATCATTAATTTATTTTTTTGGGATTTAACTATCATTCTTCCTAAAGAAATGCTAAAAATGATAAAATTAAAGGAACATGAATACATGATGTCCAATGATTTTATTTTATTTTAGTTTGAAAATAATTTTTATTTTATTATGAAATAATGGAACTTTTAGTTTTTTAAATTTGATTTAGTTATTAATTTAGCTTTTTAAATTTAATTTTCATTATCCAGATCGTGCGAGGCTATCAACCTTATCTGCCAAAGTGATAGTGACTATCATTTCGTCAATGACATTATTGATCATTTTAGGTTGGGTGTTGAACAGAGATTGAAACGTTTCCGTTTACTTCACACGTTTAGGAAGCAAACTTTTATGCTCACCACCTAACTAGGAATGCCAGAGGGCTGATAAATGCCGGAGAGCTGATAGGATCTTTCGTAACATTTGATCAGCCACCCTCTATAGCTGGTGGATGATGAGAGGATTACTCCCTGACTATTGATTAACTGTGCACTATTTTGATATTTGTAAGCCTTTTTTATTAAAAAAAGAAAAGTTGAATTTTCATCAATTTAATCCTTTGTATTTTTTAAAATTATTATGAGTCTTTTAAATTTTAAAATTTAAATTAACTCTCAAAATAATCTAATGTAGAAAGTACACTGATAACTTAACATGTTATGTATTTAAATAAAAATAAAGTAACTTTGAAATAAGTTTAATTTTTGTCAATATAATTTTTTAGACTGTGTTCTGTTCTCTCTCTTTTTTTTAATATTTCAGAGTTTATTTTTTTATCTAAATAATTACATTTGCCTTCATTAATCTATATGGTAGTCATCAATATTTTGTGATACATATAAGCAAATTTTAATAGTGCTACCTCTTGTTTAAACAATAAGAACCAAATAGATAATTAAAGTAAATTTAAAAAAAAAACTAAATCAATAAAAATTAAAATTGAGAGATTAAATTAATAATTGAGATAAATTTCAGGAACTAAAAGCTATATTATCATTTTTATTTTTTAATCAAAATGTTTAAATTATGAACATTTTTCTTGTGAAAAAAAGAAAGAAATTATGGACTGAAAGTAGAGGCTAAAAAGTAAAACGGCGCAAGCACTTATGAAGGAAAGTGGCTTTGTGCTTTGAAGAATGGTTTCATTCTCACTTATGGGGATGCAAAAGGACTTGAAAAATTGGTTCGCTTTGTTTCATCGTCAATTGCGGGGTTGTTTCGTATGCTTGCTCAAGTCTTTCCTGGACTTGCCTTGGATTCTACGTATTTGACGGAAATGCAATTTAATTTATGAAATTAAGAGTCATGGTACATAAGGTTTGTAAAGAGTGTGATTATTCTTATATCTGTAATATGGAACATGTGCTATTGAGTTCTGTCAAGATTACTATGAATCAAGAATACTTCAGTTCATTTTTATTTTTATTTCTTTAATTCTTCAATTCATTTCAGCGACCAAACGGCTTCATAGTGGGATAAATATGATTGAGATATCAGCGACATTAGCATATTATCTAACTTGATTAGGAGATCACAACAATTCAATTCAATTACAGAACTCTCTATGGCTTCGTAATCATTTTTAAAACAAACGAAATGAATATTAAAAGTACATTTTAATCACAGTAAACTATCAGTTCTAGCAGGTAGCCTCTTGAAGAAATTGCTTGGCACAGAAGGCGTCTTGCTCCTGAACCTTGGATGGCGCAAACAATGCAAACCAGTGACCAAAGCCACCACTTTGAATGGAGTAGCATACAACACTACAGCTGCACCAAGGCTGAACACTACAAAGAGGCTGGTCGCTCTCGGGTCCCTCCAACTCAGCAGAGATTGAAACCTCTCACCCTGTGTAGCTATGTCTCCAACCACTGTCTGAATCCTTCCAGCAACACTTCTGAGCCTATCATACCTCATTCTCACCACATCAAATGGTCTAGAAGTTGGGAATGTGTCAAACTCTTCATCAAGTTCATCTGGGTGTACAGCTTCTGCCCAAGAGGTCTTTGTGTCCATGTGAGGTGGGTGTCTTGGCCGGAACCGGTAGTTCCAGAGACCGATCAAGAACATGTAGAGAAACAGAGTTGGGAGGATCAATTCTGGGTACCATACGAGTATCAGAAAAAGCATGTGAACTAGGATTGTTGTGATAGGGATCTTCCAGTGGCAAACATCTGTAAACCATCTTCCCGTTGAGATCATACCAGAGAAGAGGGACATTATCCGGAAGAAATTAGCTTTGCTTCTTCTCATGCTCCACATGTGAGAATCAACATCCAGCATGTACTCTACCACCTCCTTTCTGAGAGATGGTTCAGCTCGACCAAGCCTCATTGCAACTATGTTCATGGCTTGGTATCTTAAACTTTCTATTTGGTTTACTGTGAAAGGGTGTAAGTAATGCATCTTGGGAAGCAAGGGATGGCCATAGATGTAAATCATGTTGGCCAGTGAGAGGGTAGTGAACCTTACTGCTAGCTGAAGCTCTCCCATCTTCTTGACACCATGTGGGTGCAGAACAAGAAGAGGGTATGAATGAGTGTAGATTCTATGAGCCTCCAGAGTTGAAAGCCGAATTCTGACCTTCCCAATTCGCGAATCTCGTCCTCCTTTTTCGATGGCGCCACCTAAATGGCAATTGTCAAAAACCCCAAGTGTGATCACAGTGCAAGGATCATAGACCTCCCAAGTGTACTGCTCATTCCATTTAGGACTAAAAGTGTCAAGGATTGTTCTGGTTCTGACCCATTTCTGGCCATATTTTGCAACACAGTATGCATCTGTGCTTCCACGGCCATCCTTCATCTTCATTGGGAGAAGCCCTTGTGCCCCTAGAATTCCCACTTCTAGTATCCCTATGGGCTGCTTCCATAGCTGTCTTGATGTTGCTCTTTGATCACTGATGTACATGGTGGATTCATCTAGCACGTGGTATCCACCTTCAAGACAAACTCTCAAGTGAATCCTACTCGCAAACTTTAGCTCCATCCTCCTATCACCTTCTAGTGCTCCAAAACCGAACTTCTCAAGATTGAACCAACGAGATTGAACTGGTCTGTGGTCTAGCCGCTTCTCAAACATGGTCAGTGGCAAGCTTATCTTCCCAAGAACCTCATCTCTCGAAGGGTGAACACGATCCTCAACAGTTATCATCAGTTGCTCCTCAAATGGTTCAGCTACCACAAAAACCAAATCTTCATTCCAAAGTGGAGTGATTGTTCTAGTTGGGCATATCTTTGTTTTTAGCACTTGGTTTCCCACCTGAGCTTTGACAAAAACCTCTGGCAGGCGATTTCTGTCACTGGGTATCACATCCTGAGCTTCAATGGCATTGACCCTCAGATACCATAGTTTTGGTGACACATAAACCTTTGATCTAATATTGAAAACACCTTCTCCAGATACAGAAGCCGCATCAGAATGCCAAGCTTCTGGGAATGCTTCATCAGCTTGCGTTCCCATCCATACGGCAAGCATGACTTCACCTCTTACCTTCCCTTCGCCTCGCCGGTCCTCAAGCCTATACCATTGAGGAGCTAGTGGACTGTCTGGTGGAACTCTGGTTGGGACCTCATTGAGGTCAAAAGCCACCCTTCCAAGATAATCATCTCTGCCCACCATGTCTTTATCTTTCACAAAGACCTCTAGAATAGATGATTGTATCCGGTCTTTCGAGAAAGCAAAGACTTGGTTCCACTCCGGGTTCATCTTTTTCTCAAAGTGCCTTGTTCTTCCTTTATAATTCCCAAGCTTCACTTCCACATAAGGATCACAGCTTCCAGTCATAGCTCCAGTAGGAAGATCTTTGGCCTTCACGACTCGAACATAGAGATAGAACATCTGCTCAACAAGGTCATATGTGCTTGTGTGCCTCTCCCCACTTCCACCACCAATCATCCACCCTCTTCCACCATTAGGCCACCGCTCTCCAAGTTGTGGGTTGGTGTCCTTCAGATTGTAGTCTTCATCTTCATGGCCAGAAATATTGACCTGAGGATGAGGATTAGGATGAGGATGAACTGGGTGCATTGTTGTTTGAGTACGATTTGGTCGTTTCATGATTGAAATCCGAGGTTGCATGATGACTTGATGTTTGTGTAGTTGTTGGGATCCCTCTAAGACAGGTCTCTTATTCCCCTTTGGACTCTTCTGGCTTTTCCTCTGCTTCCTCTGCTTTGCCAATAACTGTTAATGTTCTGTCAGTAAGGTATGCAATATTTCTCCTGTCACTTTTGGCAATGGTAAGGTTTGGTTGGATTGAAATGAAATGATTGGTTTTGATTCCAAATGGGTTTGAGGTTCCTTGGGATTCCTCTGGTTTTCAACTTCTACTTCTACAAATGAACTTGCTGATCCTTCACCATGATTGGGCATAAGATCATGAATATCTATAACCTCCACTACCAGCTTCATAGGATGAAGATCTTGCTGCTAAGGTGGCTACCTACAAGTAACCAGAAATTTGATTCCCAAGCAAGGAAGATATACTTAAGAAGGCAAAAGATAAAAGAAAGATCACATTATGATTCTCTCTCTCTCTCTCTCTCTCTCTCTCTCTCTCTCTCTCTCTCTCTCTCTGGGCTTTAGACACACTAGAACTGCTTGCTTACTATTATGATTTTCGTTAAGCAAAGAATAATTTGATGAACCAGCTTGATGAACTTTTTACTGCTTCAGTGATCTTAAGATGGAAAACAAGAAATAAATATGGTAAAGCTTCAGATTGATCTCACGTAAAGACAGGCCATTCTGTTTGCCTTAAAAAGGTTGTGGTAATCAAGTAATTATGATATCAAACATAACACGGCATTGCAAACTCGGTGTACTTTGTGTTCGTGTCAGTTTTTTTATGGTTGGAAGTTTCTTTGTGTAGACAAAATGTACCTCTAGATTTGAATAAAATGAGGAAACAAAGCATAATGATTCTCAACTTTTTAATTTGTTAATGTAATAATAGTAATTAAGGTAAAGGCCTGATGGACCATGTGGTCAAGAGAATAATGGCATGAGGTTGATAGAAGAATGGCATGAAAACTAACAATTGTGCCACATGGTGAAAAAATGATGATTATAAAAAGAGAAAAAAACAAAAAAAACTCCTAAAATATTTAAATGACAAATAAGTATTGTAAAACATGATAATTATTACTCCTTTCATCTCAAATTATAAGATACTTTTAGATAAAAATTTACATACCAATAAACCTCATTAAATAAACCTAACAATATTATCTTTCCAACAAAAATATAAACTTCTAAAAATACTCATAATTTATTGAGAAGAGAAGGATGAAAAGTAATTATAAAAAGAGAAATGATAATATTATAATTGGCGTATTTAATGAGACCTTAATCTACCTAAAATATCTTATATTATGAAGAAACTTTTTCAAAAGGATACTATAATTTGAGATGGAAAGAGTATTTAGTTTCTAGGGATTTGTTTGATATTTTAATTTTTGACAAAATGACGTATTTTCCCTCAATGACTATCATATGTTAGGAAATGACTAAAATTGAATAGAAAATGACTATTTCCTCTCTACAAATTTGTTTATGAATCAAGTACAACAAAAGTAGTCATTTTCAAAAAGGAAGTAATTATTTTAAATTTTATTTTAGTCAATAACCTAACCAAAATAGTCATTTCTTAATGCATAAATATCATTTCATCAAAAATCAAAATGACATACAAGTTTCTAGAAACTAAATAATAATAATAATAATAATAATCACATTTCACATTGCTTAATTGTAATTTACATATTTTGAAGGTATTTTTTTTTTGTCAGTCTCCCTTATAAAAATATATAAATTTCATTGTGTATGTTACCAGATCAGAATCTCTTTTCTGAATAGATATGAAGATTTAATTAAGAATTAAAGCAAATACAGAGGTATTGCATGTGCATTTTGGCATGATTTCTTTCTTCTAAGTGCAGCAAAGCCAAAGTGCAGAAAAAGTGAACAGACAGAGCTTGAAAGGCAGAATTGAAACTGCATGAAAGCAAAGGGCGGTTCAAGGACTTGTGTGATCTTTGGCCTAAGATGCTTCCCATATGCTTTATTCTCATCCTTTTTAACTATCATAATTTTTTTAGTTTATTGTTATGATATAATGATGTGCTTTGGAGAAAAGAATTTAATATATGACTTTCACTGTATGGCAAGGTTTTACAGATTCACGTGATGCTAAATATTTTTTTGCTACATTTTGGAGATCGAGAAAATTGAAACTTTTTTTTTACTTTATATATATAACTATACTTCTTTCTTAAAACTCCATCACTTTTTGCATTTATTATTTTGTTTTTTGATTTATTTTGACCTGTATAATTTTATATTTGTTTTTTAATCAAATTTATCACTATTTTTGAAGTTAATAGCTAGAACATTATATTTATTTTATGCTTTTTCAGAAAATGTCGGAGTTAAAAAAAATGGAATACGATATGTATGTTCTAAACCTTGTATGAAAGATTCATATCAGAGGAGCACATGATTGCCAGATTTAATTTATATGGATGCTGTTGAAGAACATACAAGGGGATTCATGACATGGACAATTACTTGTGAAACTGAGAGTAATGCAAATGACGAGAAAGATTATAAGCCATGCAACATCTTATTGTAAGAACTTAGAAGGATATGTGGTAGATTAATCCTAATATATAACAATATTTCTTTTAATAAGCTTGCTCATTCTAGCTCTTTCAAGCTTGAACTTCATTTCATGATCTCACCTGCACAAGCAACAGAAAAGAGTGATCATTCATTGCACTTGCCAAATGCAAATATAACACATCAAATTTGGCTTTAATACATTATATGGCTCATGTTTTTATTTTTCAAACTTAAACTCTTTAGATAGGTCAAATATCCAGGTGAAAAGAAAGATGCTTATCCAACTTCTCTTTTTCTCCCTACTTGCTCCTCAAAATAGTGTTTATTTAATGACTAAATAATCAATTTACTCTAAGTAGCATCTCTTAATTTTTTAACTTAGGCTAAATTCTTCAAAATCATAATGAGTGTGAAGTATGAAATCCTAAATGCACAAAACTCATGCACCTTGGACTTCAGCCAAAATGGGACAGGTTGTGGGCAGTCTTTCTAGCCAGCCTGTCCCACCCTTTGCACAGCCTTACCTTGGAGTTACTTAAGAAAAACATGGAGTTTCAATCAAAGGCAAAAAGGACATTTGACCATGATGTCCAAAATAGACTTGAATCCTCTAAAGGATTAACATGTGGGAAGTGCCTGCAAAGTACTTATGAGATTTATTCCTCCTCCTTTTAATCTCTTTAAAAGAACTTTAACCTCTATATTCAAAATCAATTTACTTGTCAATTGGCTTGTAATCTGGTGGTATGTATGTTCTCTTGTAAATGGGAGGTTGTGGGTTCAATCTCACTTGTAACCTCATCAATTAGTGTTTGCCCCTCTAATTCATATATATATATATATATATCATTCCATTAATACCCTTATTTGATAACATCTAGAAATCCATCTTCAGTATCCTATTTTGTCACACAAGAATTCCTTAAAACAATAATATGATTTATGTTGTGGACACATATGTTTAGTGAAATGACAAAGAAGAGTGGCTGTATTTGTGTTTGTGTGTGTGTGTGTGAGAGAGAGAGAGAGAGAGAGAGCGCACATGGTTCAAAGTTAGCAGCACACTTTGCCGGAAGCTGCAAGGCCATGTCACGATCTATGCCAGATATTGGAGGACCATTCGCTAGTAAGCATAAACATGGCTGTCCTAGAATCCTAATGGCATTGCAGCATGCTTCACCTGGTGGAAATGGACTAAAAGGAACAACTGCTGCCCTGCAAGGTATGAGCTGCACCAATGCAGAGAAGAAGGTTCTTGTGCAAGGAGTGCCTTGCCCTCCTGCAACCAAACCTGTCATGATCAACAAAACCAGTAATAATGGCAGAACCCGAATCCCTGACCTAAACACCTTCATCTTATCTTTGATTTGCTTATTGCTAGTGAAAATTACTGAACGAGGTTTTGTACTATTTATACAAGATGTGCCTCATGTCATCCAGCATGCCCGTCCTAACAAAATGTCATGCTAGTCATGCCTTTCAACCTTAACCGGCGTTTCAGTCTGGTCTTCACAAGTGAAATCATCAACAATACAATTGGTGCTGGATTACAAGCAGTTAGAAGATCCAAACTACATGAGTCCTACCAGTAAAGTGGATTGTGATTTAGAAGAGAACAGCACAAAAGAGTAAAAGCATAGATGCTTTTTTTTTTTTTTAATTCTATTTCTATTTCTCTAAATCAAATCGTGCATCTAATAGTTCATGTCCGAGTAAAGTTGCTTTACATCATACTTTTCCCCCCAGCATAAAGGAATTATATTTCAGGCCCTGTGCAATATATATACAAATACTGCTTTTCTTACAGATTTCTTTCTGTTTCATGATGACTTGATCTAGCATGTGCACTCTAGAAGAAAATCAAAATTGAAACGAAACATTTACACATACACATATTGTGGCATCAGTAAGGAAACAAGAGCATTGAATACGCATCTGAGAAAATATGCTGGAACGGATAGGAATTTCAATGTATTGAAACTAATTAGTGCTCACTCGGAAGTTTCATCGTTCCTTTTTCTCGAGACTGAAAAATAAAGCTACAATTTCTCACTTTCTAGCCCCAACATCGAAGTGCACACTATTGATAGAACAATGTATGAACTTCTTTATTACAATTTTTGGTCATGAAGGCCCTCACTTCTTTCCTTTGAGATTGATCACTGCAAGCTCTTGTTCAACATATTCTCCTGCACAGGTAGGAGGATATTGGCTTGCAAGTGGTGACTCTGCAAAATGTTCCAAGGGCTTCAGAACTGCATCTGATGCTATGTGTGCAAACATCTACATATGAGGGGCAAAAGTCACAAGTTAATATAAAACTTTGTGAAAAGTGAACTTCATTCAGTAATAAACGAAACAAATATGATTTTTTTGTCCTCACTCACCGTTGAAGATACTCTCCATAGGCTACGCTTTTGCTCTTGTGCTAGTTTAATCGCTTCTAGTGTCCTATTTGTGGCAACTACCTCATGCATGCCAGCAACACAGTGCCCTGCAGTTAACCACTCTATCTGCATTCAGAATAAATTTTATTGTAAAACACAAGATTACATAAATCATGCCAACGATAGATTACATTTATCAAGGAGAGCTGTCAAATTATCCCAAACCTTGATGATGAAATCACAAGCATATTTAGATATCAGCTTGAGATTCTAAAACTCTATTGTTAGTAATTAATAACTAACACTACCTGTTACCTAAATGAAACAGATAGCATGAGAAAGACCAAATACTGAGCTCTTATATGCTATAACTGCTTCTTTTTAGATGGAATGCTGGAAAATTCAAGCGTTTCAATACCTGCTTCCCTGTCTGAATAAGAAGACACCCAATTGGAACCTTCACTTCAACTTTGTGTCCATTTCTTAACCAGATGTTTAAACCAGGAAATCTACTTCTACCATGAATTGTTAGGAAGTTCAAGTCGTAGTGATATCCAGCAAAAACAGTTCCCTCCTGGCCATATTTTTGAAGGTCGCTCCCTGTTGGGGCCAACAGATGCGGGCCCTGCTATTTGACAGAACAAGTCATGCGATTGATAGAAAACTTAAACTAAAGATAATTACCAAAGGAAACGTGGAAATAAGAAAAACATGATTCAAGTTGAAACTCATTTTGGAGAAATTTTATACTGCACAGTGCCGCAGATGACAAGGTCATACAGGTTATTCATCTGTCGCCTACTGAAATGAATATTTATGTTTATTTATTCCCAAGTAAATTGCGTCATTAAATGACAGGAACATAGCCCATTAGGTAGCTATATTTTGAAAACAGGTTCCTATCTAAAAGAGTCAACACTCTCACTCTCAGTTTATTTTATAATGTTAAATTGACAAAATCCAATGGTAATCCTGATTTATCAAAGCGCTTAGTTTTTTCTTTTTAATAGGAATGTCTGCAGCATAATTATGCCCACAAATAAACCCTCCAACTCTTGAGGCAACCCAAATTTCGGAAGTTTCAATCTTACACATGTTCACAATGCACAGATAATTAAAAGATACAAAATAAACGGTGGTCATGATTCTCTTACTTTATAACTGTTGCACGACACAAACTGAGAACCTTTACTACCACATTGGAAAAAGAATCAATTTCAAATGTACAAGCTGCTGCATGCCAGACAAACAACATTTATAAGTTAACAACTCAAGATCCGTCTCCAAATGCTCATATGGGATCTCATAAGTCAGTGTTCACTTGTTGTTTATAAAAATATCTTTACTCAACTTTTATTTTCAGCATTTTTTTAGCTTCCTATTAATAGTACTTGTTATAGTTTGCTGACAAAATAATTAACCACCAAACAGCTATTAATGGGAAAAGAAATAGATGGATGATTTTCCAGTTTAATTGATAAATGTGGTCACCTGCTTCATAAGAGAGGTGAATGCATCCTTTGGTAGCCCAAAGCCAATAGCTGCCATTTCAGCAACGACCTAAGTAAGAAATGTGCTGTCACTGAAATCGTGCAAATAAAAACAAATAAAAAAAAGTGAAAACCCACAAGAACACTTACTTCTACTGCTGACATCATCTTGTATCCCCAGGAATCCATGGTTTCTTTCCATTCAGGAAAACCCTCAGGTATAACTGGCTCTGAATTGAGTTCCTGTACAATTAAGATAATATTAGGAATTATACTAACAAGTTTATCTCTGATGGCTGAAGAGAGGAATGAGATGAGAGACCTGAAAACGGGTGTTTGAAGGTCGAGGACCAATTCTCCAAAAGTATCGCCACTTGAGATCAGGTCCAATAGGAGTATGAGGCTGGTGCTCTTTTGGCATTGCTTTTAGCTTCTCTTGCATTTCTTCATCAACCAAGCTTCTTGGAACTTCCACTCTTTCTGGTGTAACCCCAACCTATACGGCCAACTTTTTTATTAACAAGCCTTACAGAGTCTTTTGGCCATGATTTCTACCAAATTACACAAAATTTCTCTTTATATAACAGATATTTCCAGGTTTGGCTTTCTACACATATATGAAACTGATTTATCATCTGTGCTTGAACTAGATTGACTGCAAGCCATTGATGTTCTCTGTATACTTTATAGTGATAAAAATAAGTAACAAGAATGCAAACTAACAATGTACAATATATTGGTAAAAAAAAATTTTAAAAAAAGTACAATAGGCTGCTGGAATTGGGTGTCGTTCGTTCCAAGAGAAGTTTCTTATTCAATTTGTCAGAATCGGCATAACAGAATGAACAAGTGACACGGAGGGATACTCAAAAGTCAAAAGCAAAACGATCTCGACTCGAACGAGTTTCAAACAATTCACTAAAAGACCTGTTCTTCAAAAAAAATAAACCAAGTCTAAACTCTAAATGCATGACTACATTGTCACACATCAAGCAAAAACAGTATAAAAAGCTCACAAATCGGCGGTGAATTATGATTGTATCATTTAATTCGGAGCAAACACGGCAGAATTAACAAAATTAAGGACGTAGGAGGGGCAAAGAAGCCAACTTAAAAAAAAAATGAATGCATTCAGCCATCTCATCAATGCTAAAACAGGAAACTTCGCAAGAACAAGACTTTCTGGGCAACCAAACAAACCACCCACCCATTTGGGCTATCCTTACCTGGTAATGCAAGTGTGGCCTCTCCTGGCGGCATTTGAACTCCTGAGGGCTCTCGAAGTACTTCTCCATCATATCAATGAAGCGATCGTTGTCTTGGACGGAGCATCTGGGATCCTTGATGAGCAGAGCTCCGGTCTCCGTCAGACTCCGACTGACCTCAGAACAAAGCGCAACGAGCTCGGAACTAAGGTCGCCGGAGACGGCCAAGTAGGGGGAGAGATCTACCACAGGCAGCTCCATCTTCGGGGCAGAGAAGAGAAGAAGGCGAAAATATCTGTAGCGTTTTTGGGATTGTGATGATGGCGGGAGACGAGGGATTCGATCTTTAATTCTTCTTTTCTTAACGGCAAATCAATGGGCTTTTGTGGGAAACCACCAAGCAAGGCACCAATAATATAACATTGTCCCTACCGGAAATTATAATTGTGACCAAAATGAGAGGTTATTTATAAATAAGCACAAAGTATTTTGTAAGACCAATGTCCTTCGCCTAATCCCCAAAAAAAAAAAGGAGTCTAGTGATTAAAATTCCCATAACACAAATAATTTATCCTGCTAATAACCATTTGATTTAGTGGTATCAACCCTCTCCCTTAACACAAAGGACTGTGGGTTCTATTCCCTATAAGCCCAAAAATAAGTAAAAATTTAGATTAAATAAATGCGAAGGCTTGAGGGATTAATTAGGTGTTATCTACCGTGTTTATTTGATATAATAGTCACACATGAAATATTTAATGTTTAGATAGAAATTTAATTCACACAAAGGAATTTGAATTTGTGCGATTAAATTTCTCTTGTTTTATCAACATGTATTTGTTCTAAAGAGAAAAACTATGACTATTTAAGTATGAGGTCTTAAATTTAAATTTATATAAATGTAAAAATGTTAAATTTTTGTTCATCTATGCTATAGTAATTGCTTGTGGTTTGCAACGTTAACTTGATATGCCTATTATATGACCATTAACTAAAATGTGTTTATGCTTAACTAATTGTTGAGCTTGAGGAACAATCGAAGCTATACCCAATTGAAAAAGTATGTTAATACATTTCAATTAAGTGTAGTAAAACTTAATCAAGTGATCGGTTTGCTTTTTTGTAAGCTCGACAACTTCCAAATATGACTCTATTATATATCTATATAAAAAAATATTTTCTTTACTAACAAAAGTTAGTTTTAACAAAAGAGGCTAATTTCTTACAACGTGGCAAACTAACACTTAAATTTTTGTTGAAAGAAGTGCCTTCATTGAATATCCGACCTTATCTCAAACAAATTGACTCTAATAAAAGAATATCTATAAACGTTAAAAAATAATTTTTTTCAATAATAAATTTCCTATGAATGATGATTACATTTAACATGTGTTAAATGAAGAAAACTATTTGTCTCAAAAACATTTCAATTACTATGCATAATTTTTTTTATTTATTAAGGAAGATTTTGATCCTGCAAACCAATTTCAGTAATTTTAAGGTCTCTATTTGTAAATAACTACTTATTTGGGTACTTAAGCATAATTCTACCAAGAATGAAAGAATTTGATCTCACTTCTCTTTCCACTTTGCGCGTACAATTTTAAAAGTACACATGGTCACGGAACGGAACTGTTAACATGTTTTGTATTATTCCATTTGATCTGATTGTTAATTTTTTCCCCTCTTAAGTAAATTATATATTTTTTTAATATATGCCCCTAAAAATAGTAAAAAGACGAAAATACTTTGGAAGTGATCAGTCAAAAGAGCGAGGAAAAAGATATAAATATTCATGACATTATATAAATAAGTGCATAAGTGATTAAACTGTTAATTTTAACATAATGATATTAACTTTAATCATTAAATATTAATTGTATAAGTCACGTGTCACTTTTTATTGACGTGAATTAATAAAAAGACAAAAATATTCACTAAGTCATCAGCCAAAAGTAAAAATATGCATAATATTATCAAAATTGATGTAAAAGTGATCAATTCATTAAATATTTAAATGTTAATTATTTAGCTGATACTTAAATAAAAGTTGACTATTTTTTTATTCATATGGACAAAAAATATTCCTGAATAAGTTTTACTGTGTTCTTGTTTTTAAAAATAAAAAATAGTTTTTAAAAACAGAAAACAAACATGCCCTAATATTTCAACGCAGTGTGGTTTAAGCAAATTGGGTCAACGTTGTCTTTGAGGCCCAAGAAACAAAGAGAGTGTCTCAGACGGTTGTCAAAATCTTGAACAAAAATTAATTTTTATTTTTTAAAAAATATAAATAAATAAATATTTAGATACTTTAAAATTGTTCCCATCTCTTTATTTTTAAATTAAAAAAATGAAAATATATTAGAGTTGTTTTTATTTTTTTTCAAAAAGAAATACACTGTATTTGACTATAGTAAACTATCACCCAATCAATTGAAACATGCCAACATACATCTAAGAAATAATAAAAATATATATTATTCATAGCTTATAAAAAAATATGGCTTACTTTAACGTCGATGTGCAACCCAAGCAAACAATTAACAATTAACAATTCTAACGAAGTTAGTGGTAACAATATTACCTTATTAAGCAAATGAGAAGTTATTTTGTTTCGTTTTTTTTTATAGAAATTTTATTTCATTTTTAAACAAATACTTCAAGACTCCTGTTCACAGCCTATCCCTCCATATACAATTTGTTACATATTCAACATTTTATAAGACTAAATTATATACAAGGATTTGATCACCTTGATTGGATCTAGATCAGAAAAATCCGGCCGATATAGCAATTGAAACAAAAAAAAGTCATCTGTTTACTTTTTGCCCGGAACACTGCCAATTGTCAAAACATCAAAAACAACATCGGACTTGTTTTCCTTTATTTGCCAGTCAGTTAAAGGGCTTGTTTGTTGATTCTAATTTTCATACCCGTGCACCTTGAACTTCCTCCACTATTAAAGCATGCTCTAATTCTTGTCCAAACATATCACACCAAGTTTCACAAAGCTGAACACCACAAACAAACAAACAAAGAAGGGTCCGTTTGTATTTTAGTTGGGTATAATAGATTATGAAAATAATTGATTAAGTGGTAGATTTTAATCATAATTGATTATGTTATAACGTAATCTATTTGGATATTGTTTTTTTAAAATTGATTTTAACAGAATTGAAGATATTTGAATAATTTAATCAAAATTAATTTTTAACTATATAAATTACTATATAATTTAATTTTTAAATATCAAATATTAATTTTTTAAATATATAAAGTTTAAATTTTATTAAGGAAAAAAAAGAAAAAGAAGAGAGTTTAATTTTATTTTTATTAAATTATGTGCTTTTTTTGTAATTTTTTCCTGAGCCCGTTTTTGTAATTTTCCCCAACGTTTTTGACAAACTTTTGGCAAAACGGACGGAGGGAGCTTCTGAAAAACGCACGTTTTGGCCCATAATCGATTTTTGATCATTTTCGACTGTTTGGATAAATTGACAGAAAAAATTAATTTTAGATCCAAAACGCGCGTTTTCTCCTTATCCAAACGGGCACAAAGCAACTCTTATGGCACTGAAACACCTTCCCATTCTTGTCTTTCTCTTCTTCTTAGGTACCCAATAATATCCCATTCAGGCATCTTCTAATATATTGTTCTTGAAAGTTTTTGTGATCATTTTTATGACAGTTTGTTTTCTTGATGGGTTCTTTTTCTACAGGATCAGAAGCAGCAGTATTCACACTGCAAAATAAATGCAGGGAGACAATATGGCCTGCAATCCTAACAGCTGCACGGAAACCTCAACTAATGGATGGCGGGTTGCAGTTAAAACCTAACCAAACCATAGACATCACTGCTCCAAAAGGTTGGTCCGGCCGGTTCTGGGGACGGCGCTACTGCTCCTTTGACATCTCCGGCAATGGAATGTGCATTACCGGAGACTGCGGAGGCAAGCTCAAATGCAACGGAGCCCGAGGAGCACCGCCGGCTACACTTGCAGAATTTACTCTAGACAGTCCAATGGACTTCTATGATCTTAGCCTAGTTGATGGCTATAACATGCCAGTATCAATTTTCCCCTCTGGGGGATCTGGGGTGTGTAAGAATATAACATGCCTAACAAATTTGAACAAAAGATGCCAAAGAGGATTGGAGATGAAGAACAAAGGCAGAGTTGTTGGGTGCAAGAGCTCATGTCTGGCATTTAACAAGCCAGAATATTGCTGTTCTGGAGATTTCAATAGCCCTAGCAAATGCAAGCCATCAAGTTATTCCAAGGCCTTTAAAGCATCTTGTCCTCTGGCTTATAGTTATGCTTATGATGATGCATCCAGCACTTTCACTTGCCAAGGAGCAAATTACTTGATTAGGTTCTGTTAAAGGAGGGATGACAGATAACTTGATCAAGTGAATACATCAAATACCCATTTCTCGCATGCATAACAGAGGATTGAACTTAAGGCATTGCCTCACATGGGTAAAGACTAAAGACATCACTGTGACAGAGCAAAGGTTCTCACCTGAACTTCTTGTGGAGACGTCATATTTTGCGTGTGCGCTTTGTGTGTATACTTATTATTTCTTCATGCATGCTATATACAATAGATTTGGTGTGCTTTACTGCAATGAGATTCCTTTGGAGTGAAGATTTTCTGACCAAATGCAGGATCAAGTACAAAGACAAACATAGGTGTTAATTATAGATAGGTTTATAAAGATATAAAGATGGATTTTATTGAAGATTATACTAATATGCTTGTGTGACTATTAATGATTAGTTGGTCCATCAATTATTTGTAGAGCAAGATTCCTTTATGGCCTGTTTGGTAAGAGTGAAATGAAGCGAGGGAAGTGGAAGTGAAATTCCAAATTTAACACGTTTGGCAACATTGGAATTAGCTTCCTTATGAAAGTTACTTTCATAAAAAATGATGGAACCCACTTCCCCATTCAATCCCATAAAACTCAATTCCACTTTCATCGCACCCTCAAGCTTGACAATTTTGCCCCATCACCATCTCTCCTTGTTATCAACAGAGGACGGTGATGGTGGTGATGTAGTGACTCTGTCAAGGACAACAACAAACCGCGATGACTATCTTTGATTTCGGGTTCGATTCTCTCTTCGATTTCTATTTTGTTCTATGTTGCTCCTGGATCCGCGTTAGACAACATTCAGGCACAACTTATTTTCAAATTCAATTTCAGGCCTTCGATTTTTGATTCTATGACTTTGGTGTTCATATTTGTTTTATCATGTTTCATTAAAATGTTATGTTTGATAATAATGGTTTCAACTTTCACTGTATTTTCCAACAAACTGACTTTTCCGACAAAAGTGAATGTGACCTCCAGCAGCAACAATCAACAAGCGCGAGTTATGGGTTAGGGTTGTGTTTTTGGGGGTGAGGACATACTTGTAATTTCACATTATAAATATAATTATTTAATAAAATAAATTCAACACTTCCATGTGCATGCCAAGCAAACTTTTAAACCCCACTTCCACTTCTGCTTCCACCACAAATAATTCCCTGTACCAAATGGGCCATTAAGATATTTTTGTCTAACTATTGAATCTGGAATGAATGAATGAATGAATAGATTAATGAAAACATATACTGGAACAAGTTCTTGAGTTCATTTATATAGGGATCATGTCAACATTTCTGCCTGAAATACTAGACAAGCAATTTAGGAGAAACAGACGAACCAAAATAGCACAGAGGACAGCCATTCATTTGAAACCCCACTTCATTTCTTTCCATTATGCAACAAGGTGATTCTATTTCCGTTATGCAATAAGATGTTATTGGGGGAAAAAACGAAAGAATAATTTCCCATTTCCATACGCAGGAAGCTTCTCTAAGCAATCATCATGGCAAAAACCTCACTAGCAGATACGGTGAATAGACAACCCAATTTCATCAAACCATCAGAAGCTGAGTTCTCTTACATGCCAGCCAAACCAACCAAGAGAATTTGAACCTTTAGAGGAAAAACTGAGTCCAGCAAAAATCTCCTGAAATGTGAAAAATGAGCCACATAAGATTAGAAGCAATGTAGGTGGTAGGTTAGGTGTTTTCTATCAAATGCAACATCACATTATTAACTCATTAAAAAAGGTTCTTCTACATTTTGTATCTCTATCAGAGAATTTTATAACAGCAATCACCAAAAAAAAAAACGCCGCGCCTAAAAGTGACAAAGAATATCAAGGGAGAAGGAGGAGAATACTCACATAAGATAAAGGTCACAGTCCTCGCAGCACCAGTTGAAGGAGAGTTCTACGAAAAACTGCAGCAATTGAACCTCCTTTTAGTTTCTGGGTCCTTTCGATATTCTAAGTCATCTGAAGGGACATAAATCTCTGTCCCTTCAAGATTTACTTTCTCCAGTTTTGATTCTGCTCCATTAGCCACAAGAGACTTCTTACGGATAGTTAAATAGATCTGAGAGAGAAGACCAATGAAAGCTGGCTCTACATTGGTGGACTCAAGCGCTGATGTCTCCATGAAGAAGAGATCATGCCTCTGAGCAAGCTCTTTGGCTACCTCAACAGGCACTACTCGCATTGAACCCAAGTCACACTTGTTGCCAACAAGCATAACAGCAACATTCTTATCTGCATGCATTTGTAGCTCCTCCAACCATGTTTCGACATGATCAAAGGTATCTTGCCTGGTTATGTCATACACCAGCAATGCACCAATTGCACCTCTGTAGTATGCAGTAGTAATTGCCTGGTACCTGTGGCAAATCCCAAAATTGTCTCAGAAAACTGCAATTAACATCCACAGTAGGAAGAACAGGTCTGAAAATATAAGGAAAAATAAATCAGTCTGCACAGGCCAATCAATTTCATCTACAGCTTCATGCTATACAACAATGATGACTAAAAATGGAAAATCATGGCGTTAATCCTAGTGGAAGGGACTACAGCCATTTAAGCACAAAGTTTCAAGTTCAAGTCTGTGTGAATGTAGAAAACACCTTTGGGAGAGCTACCCCTAATTGAACTCGACAATGTTCAAATCTAAACTGGTCAAATAACCAAATAAAAAAATGGAAAATCATAATTTAGGCAAATGTCATTCACAAATATCACTTCATTTAAGCAAGTAAACTAGATCAACATGGCTCACATTGAAGCATGTAAAACCCAGCACATCTCAGTTCATTTGTTTTCTGCTTCCCTATTTGGAAAAAAATATAATAAAAAAGGATAAACAAAATTTAATACATGTGCAATTTTTAAAAGTAGCATTTTTCTTGGTAATTAAATTGAGCTGAGCCGTGTAAGTATGCATAAATAAAAAAACCTTACATACAAATTATGCATGATCTGTTGAAGCATGTGAAACTAAGCACATTATTACAGTACATTTGTTTTCTGCTCTCTATTTAGAGAGAAAAAAATATTGAAAACGGATAAATAAAATTTAATTCATGTTTGATTTTGAAAGTATCATTTTATTGACCTGAATAATAAAATTGAAGTAAGGCATGCGAGTGCGTGCAAATGCAATAAATTACATATAGTCATGCATATTTCATATATATCATTAAATTTGATCACTTTAATCTGGTGATAATTTTAGAATAAAATATTTAGAATTGAAAGAGAAAAATAAAGTTCACTCACATATATGATCTAAAAATATCAAATTATTCTTGCCAACAAATCAAGTTCAAATTATGCAAGAAAACATTTTAAAAAAACGCTTTTGAACATAATTAACACACCTATAAGAAAAATTTGATCTAATTGCTACTGATAAGAAAATCTTACAAATAGCTTGATTTTATTGATAAACAGAAAACGAATCAGCAATACTACATTTTACGACTTCTTTTAATAATCATCGTCAGGTCCGTAAATTTTATTGAATAGCAGGAGCGAAATCATGTAAAAACAAAACATGTATCAGATATAATCTTCATTCATTTCAATGGAGTCAAGTCTATAAAATAGTGCTGAATCAAAGATATAGAACATGATATCCTTTAGCTCACCACAATACACAGCAAGAAACTTTGATTGACCAAACTAAAAATTTGATTCTTAGATTGTTATGCATACTTAATTTTAGCTTCTAAGGCATGAACTGATCTCCAACAATAACAAAGAACCAAACTCATGTATTTGAAGCATTTGCCGTTAGCCAACCCAATAAAACATGACTGGCAAAAATGTTTATAATTAGATCTTCCAAAAACTTTAGTCCATACGCCATATGTTAACTCAAATTCTTAAACAACTTTACCCAAAGCTAATCTAAGTGCAGTTTTTGGACACAAGTCACTCAAAGAGTATGTCACATATCGACGCAATTTTCGGATTGAGAAGTAAAATAAATTCCTAATAATCAGGTCAAATTGTTAGCTTGGGATAATAACAGTATCACAGAGAGAAGAGGAACCAAATAGACCTTTCTTGACCAGCAGTATCCCAGATCTGGGCCCTAACAACCTTATGATCCATGAGCACCGTCTTGGTCTGAAATTCAACTCCGATCGTCGCCTTCGATTTCGCATTGAATTCATTCCTTGCATAACGATTCAATAGCTGGGATTTCCCGACACCAGAGTCTCCTATCATCACAATCTTGAACATGTAATCGATCCCCTCCTCTAAATCGCTCTGCCAGTGAGCCATCTCGGTCAGGATCCTACAAAACCCAGCAATGCGAAACCCAATTCAGATTTCCGCCAATTTGAGTAATTTCAGCAGAAGAAGAGTTCTTTCCACGATTTCGCTGTGGATGCACAAGCGGTGGTGGGTGTCGTGTAGCTTGAGAATTTAAGGCGCGTGAAAGGAGACGCATTGGGAATAAAGGAAGGAGTTTTGGCAAGGAAGAAAAGGAAAAGGAAAAGGAAAGCTGAAGCGATACGTTATTAGAGAAGGTGTTTGGCATGTTTGATTAATGTCGCTTGCCTCCTTCCCTTGAAGCGTTAGACTGGCGAAGCGGGACAACGACGAAGTTGCCAGAGAAAGACTCGCCACCTGTATTTCGAGTTTTCGATCATGAAAAGTTGAAAACCTTGAGAAGTGTTGAAAAAGAATAAGGACAGAGAAAGACACGGTAGAAAACGATGTCGATTCCACTCTGGATCACATACTTTTTTTTTTTTTTTTCCTTTGAAAATTACACTTTAAAGTAGTGATAAAAAAATTGAACCCAACTGAATCGAATAGTCTAATAGGTTCGACTGTTGATTGGTTTAAATTTTGACTTGATCAGCATATAAAAATTATTTTAAAAATTTAATTGAGTTGAGTTGTTTTGAATCAACGATAGAATTGACGACTAGAATCAAGCCGACGACTTCAATTTTAAAAATTGAATTATTTAAATTTTTTTAATTTTTAATTAATTTTTTTAAAAAATGATCAATTTTTTTAATTATTTAATATTATAATGTATTATATAGCTTGTTAAGTCATAATAAATTTAAAATATTTGGTTTTATTTTTAAGTTAAGAAGGAATTTATATTTATTTTTTATATTTAGATTACTATATATATAATATATTTAATTATTCACTAGTTTGACCATTAATTCAACTCGATTGAATCATGTGAACTGTGAATTGTTAACTTTCCGATTCAATATTCAATCTGGTTTTGAAAACATTGTTCCAAAGTCTAATCTCACATAAAATAATAACTAAAATAATTATAATTTTATTCCGTTAAATTATCAAATAAAATTTTTTAATATTTAATTATACATTGTGAAACTTCCATGTAATTCTTTCTTTCAGATGCTCCCGAATTTTAGAATCATTTTATATGCTTTACATTTAAAATATGTACATTGCTGTTTCTGTTATTATTGTGTCGAAAATTAAGTTAAATAAGAATCTTAGAATATTGTATACCAAACAAAGTTAACAACATAAATATAGATAAAAATATTAAGGGTTTATATGAGATAAAATTTTAAATAAAATCTAACTTGATGTATCATTGATTTTGATAATAAATTGAAGACAAAATAGGTGGGAAAAAAGGAAAAATCATTTTAAAATATAAGAAGACAATATTATTTAATTTTAAATTTGTCATCAAATTAAATTAAAAATAAAATTTTTTATAAAACCTAGTGACCAAAAATTTGTTCATGCTCATCTATAAAAGAAAAATAAAAGTAGGCAAACGGCCCATTTGGCCCCAAAAAAGATGAGCTATACAGGTTCTCTAAAATATTTTTAAATTACTTATTTAATTAATAATATAACTATAAGCATGAATTTACTCAACAGGCATGTGTTGAGAGAATAAAGGTGAATAATATAAGAGGGCACGATCTGGCTATGTATTGCTGCATTTTTTTTTTTTCCATTCTTCACTTACGAATTAAATTACAAACAAGCAGTCACACTAAACCTGCTCTTACATTTAACTTTTAAGTTCAAGCCAGAAACAAAGAAAACATGGAAGAAAAGCATATTAAAGTAAAATGAAAATCAATCCAAACTAGGCCTAAGTGATTTGCAGAGCAAACAGCAGCATAAATTTCATATAATTACAGTTTCTATAAACTTTTTTCTTCTAAGAAGTACAAATCTGAAATTGGTATGAGACATGAAATCATAAGATATCATAACCCGAAAAAGAACATATATCATTAAACTACCATTTGAAGCATAGTGCTGTATAATACCTATACAAGGTATCAGAAATATATCAATAGTGATACATTTATCATGCTCCACAATTTTTTTTTTGTTTTTTGTTTTTTGAGAGATTTAAACAAAGATGAAAAAGAAATTATTCCTTTATTCCTTTTGCTAGCTACAAATCATTGAGTTCTGCATCTGGTTACTTGAACACTTGCACTTTGCCTTAGTATCTGTGAGCATCTGCAAAAGCAAGAGGATGAGAAAGAACACTTTGGTCAGACAATAGGCACTCCACTGAAGGATAATATTGTCCATTTGGTCCAGAAATTCTGGGAAAAAAAGGATCACACTTGTTCAATACCTTAACTCGTTTCTGCAAGTCTTTAATATAATCAACTGCCAAATCCAACATATCAGCTGTGCTCGTTTGCTGTCAGAGGTAAAAGGAACAAATAAGCACGTTACTTGAGTCCTAAAGAATCTCAATGAACATGTAGTGATAAAAGGAGCATGTATTACCTTCTCAGACTTTGGGAAGAGATCTTGCAATTTCTTGATTCTTTCACTGATTTTTGTTCTTCTAACCCTCTCTGCAATGCTCCGTGGGTGCGTGGCGAAACCTCTTTTAGCTCGAATCTTACAAGGAACAGATCCTTGAACTTGCAGAAACTTCTCAACGGCATTCATCTTTGACTTTGTAGAAGAACTAGGCAGACTCAAATGATGAGTCAAACCAACATTCTGATACCCAAAATCAGCATTCTGAGAACAAAACAGCAGAATTTACATCGAGGCTCAAATCCATTCAACAACATGGCAGACAAAACTGAATTCAGAAACTTGCAAGTTTATATGTACCTGAGTTTCAAGACCATTTGAAGTAGAAAACATGAGTTCACCATTTCCACTAGTTGGTTTGGTGTCATTGAATAAAGGACATCCCAGAAGTCACTTGTGAAGCTGGGAATGTAACATTCAGCGGTGTTGCCATTGCTGTTGTCGTTTCTCAGATTTCTTCTACTGTCAACACAAGTTGCTTCTTCTAGGGTTTCATTCCCATCCTCTGCTATATCAGGCAATTGTCTTGAACAAGAAGATGACGGCCCAGATGAGAAGGTTAGAGTATTATCATTTAACCCACTAGTTGATGTAGAAGCTTGACCATTTGGCATATGATCACATGCTCCAAAACTTCCCACATCTCTCCATGTTGCAAAACCTGCAAATTTTTTTGAGATAAAAAAATTATTCTTGAACTCTCACCTAATAATTTAATAAGCTTATTTCAGGATTCTCATTGAGCCACCATAAGAGCTTCATTTTTTCATATTCCTTTTTAGTTTTATCTATAAGTTGTATGAGAAGCCAGCAGAAAATGGAAAGAGAGAACAGAAAGTTATGCATACCATTTTCGACAGAAAAATTGTTGAACAGACCAGCAGGGGAGCTTTTTTGCCTAAAGAGATTGTTGGGCCTTATTTTGGACTCAGTGGAATTGAATGAGCCATCAAAAGCATTCCCTGAAGATCCTAAAGACCCATTTGGCAAGCCTTGGACAACTTGCTGAGTCTGAGATTGGTAAATTATCTGAGAACCATAATTAGAATTATACCCACTGTGTCCCTCTGAAACAGAATCCCCTGCTTCTTCCTGCTTGATCCATCCATTGTTTGATGATGAAGAGATCAACTTGGCCAACATGGCTTCCATTTCAGAACTTGAAGATGGATTATGATGCTGGTGATCATGATGATCTATTCTTCTAGAAGCTTCCTCATTTGCACAGCCATGGCTATTTTGAACAAGGCTGGCCAGAAATGAGCTTGGAGCAGAACTGTACCTCGTTAATCCAGAATTCAGGTGGTGAATTGAATCCATTTCTGGGTTTCTCCTAAGCTCTCCTTCTGAGTAATTTAGAACACTGGGACTATAAAGAACACTCATGTTCCTGAAAATTCACCATCAAACAACAAAAGGGTATCTCATGATTCTTTCTCACACAGATTTGAATTAAACTGTCACCATAAATTCTTGGAGAAATTTTTATGACAGACAGATAAGCTGCAAATCTTAGACAGGGAAATTTACCTCGGAAACTACGAAAATCCCAGAAAGCTGTCTTCAAACTTGCAGAAAGAATGTGAATTTTATCTTCAATCCCGAAGAACTAAAACCTGAAAGAGTGGCAGGAACAAGGTCAGCTCATAATCTTTCTGGAACTCTGCTGCTAAAAACAGAGTTCAGAACACAGCTTTCAGAACCAGACAAGATTTTTTTTTTCTTCTTTTAAAAAAAATGTGTGCTAGAGAAAAAGGGCATACTTCTTATTATAATTCAGAGCTTGAAAGTCCAAAGTTATGATCTTTGAACGATTTGAGTCTGGATCTGAGCTCAAAATGCAGACAGAAACAAGAGGAGGAGGATGAAGAGGAGGCTTGTTTTTTCGTTGTGCTCGCATTGCGGACATATTTATGGAGGGCGTTGTTTGGTAATCACCCTCGTATTTTCACATTATAACGATTATGCCATCACAAGATAATGTGGTCCATGGCTCCATGCTAACTTTCTGTTCTTTGTTTTCTCGTTGACCAACCAAGCAGACCAACCACATTGATATTTGGTTTTCCACACTTAACTGAGATCTGAAAAATAATAAATTACAGATGAAAAATGCTAACTTTTTATAGATTATGAGATCTGAAAAGTAGTTCATATCTCGTGAGTTTAGTCTAAAATCAATTTACTTCTTATAATTTTAAATTGAACATTTTAATTATTATTTTTTGATATTTCAAGTCTTTGATTTAAGCTACTTTAACTCTCCATTCATAATTTAATCGTTATTGTATATTAAGAATTCAAACTCAAGACTCTAGTTGAAATTATTATAATGTGAATAATTTTATGGTTAATCATTTATTTCATTTATATCTTAAACTCCTTTAATGTATTGTTAAGAGCATTTATTAATTTTATTAAATATTTTTTAATTGTGGAAAGACTTGTTAGATGTAAGTATAATTGAAACATTTTCACGTAAAGCATAAAATATTAACTTGAATATCTTATAAATTTAACATTCTAAAATTTTCATTTAAGATATAATATATTACATGGATATAATTTCTTTGAAAATCCAATAAATAGAAGTTTCTTGTTATTTTTACTTTTTGAGACAATCATGATATGAAATTCTTCTTTATTAATATTTACTTTACGTCGCAAAAACACACAAACGTGAGATAAGATAGGAGATGCTTAGCTTAAGGGCAAAGCTACCCTTGTTTTATAGATGAACGTTGAATGGTTGATTTTTGGACGTGGGAAATATATTGTAGCCATAACCATAAATACAATTACTTAATTATATAAATATTGTTAAAATAAAAAATATGGGCATAAAATATAATTTAATGAATAACTATATTTTCTTTTAGAAGCATAATTATATAACAATATAGCATAAACTACTTGCAAACCAAGTTTTTCACTGCAATATATATGATATATCAATAATACAATTTTTAATTACTTTTATATAACATGTGGAATTGAATGCTAATAGTTTAATTCTTATGTAATACTCTCTCAAGTCCTATTTATAAAACATTTTTAATATATTTCACCATAATTAAATAAAACCTTAAACCTCATTAACTTTGTCATAAATTTTAATAAGTTTTTATCTTTATCCCTAATAA